GCGGGCTCGAGCCGTGCCAGGTGCAGGGTCTGCTGGCTGGGTGCTGGCAGGCTTGCACCTGGCACGGGCATCGTAGCCAGCCTGTGCCCCTTTAAGGGGTCCAGGGCCGGGAGGGGGGCAGACGAGTTTCCCTGGTGTTGGCCAGAGTGGCCACCAGGGAAAGCTGGGGAGGGCTAGCCTCCCACTAGAATTAAGTTTGAACTAGCGGAGCGCTAGTGTAGTGCCTATCAAAGTTAATTCAAACTAATGTCCATTAGTTCGAATTAACTTTGTAGTGTAGACATACCCTAGGATCCTTTTCAGCATTACTATCACAGAGCCAATTATTTTGTAGTTGTGCATTGGAAGTTTCCTTTCTAAGTGAAATATTTTGCACTTTAAAAAGCCCTTCATCTTTTTAAATTCAGATCAATTCTCCAACTTATCAAAGTCATTTTGAATTCTAGTCCTGTCCTCCAAAGTGCTTGCAACCCCTTCCCGCTTGGTGCCATCCACAAATTTTACAAGCATATTCTCCACTCCACTATCCAAGTTCTTAAGGAAAATATTGAAGTAGTTTACTCAGGACTGACTCTTATGGGATCCCATTAGATATGCCTTTTCATGTTAACAGTGAATCATTGGTAATTACTCTTTGAGTACATTTTTTAATGCACCCATTTTATAGTAATTTAATGTAGGCTACATTTCACTCATTTATTTTTTGTGTTTATTTAGTTTATTCTTACTAAAAATAACCATGTACATTTCTGTTGCAAGACAAACCACATCACTTACAACTAGTCCAGGTCTTCCAGGAGGTCCAGGAGGCCCTGACATAAAAAAACCTCCACTTGGTTCTCCTTTTTCCCCTTTGAAGCCAGTTTCTCCATTGTCTCCTTTCTCACCCTTAGAAGAGAAAGCATTTACAAAAATTAAGTTGAGACAAAATCGGAACCTGACACTGATCCTATAAAGTTACATGAAAAAGTCTCAGTATAGGATATAGTGATCTTAAAATCTGCTTTTTGATATCACTCCCTTCCTCAGTGATATAAAATGAAAGTGAATAATTTATTTCCCTAGGCTGCAAAGGCAGGATTTCTCCCAGAGATAGGGGAAATGGTGTTTATTATAGTTCTCCTTCTGCTGTGCTCCAAAACAAGATCCCATACTGCAATTATACCTTCATCCACCAGAAAGTTGGAGGTGCAAAGAGCCAGTTTCCTTCAGTCACTGAAAAAGCAGACCACAAACTTCACACAAATAAAGCTGATATTTAAAGGTGCGTGGAAAAGCAAGGATTACTGTAGACAGGTGGAGAGAAAGTGAAGGAGGTAGGATAGGAGAAGAGATGGCACGCAAAATATTAGCAAATGATTTTCTCTTGTACTTTTCTTGTCCTATGCTACAAAGAAAACCAGTGAGTCTGAGAGAAGGAATGACAGAGTCTGGAACAATTAAGTTGCAGTTCTCCCAGTTGAATAAGAACCACATCAACAGACATTCCAACCTCTCTTATTTTCCTTCTGTAATTCTGTAAGACCCTTGATTTCCCTCTACCCTTCTCTTGGTCTTCCTTACTTCTTCTTTCTGAGAAATATGTTTGTACATAGATGCAGCGGAAGAATAAACAAGAATTAGTCAGTTCCAGGACTGGTGGCAAAACAGACTGAAGGAAAGGAGTGGGGAAACTTGGCTATTTATAGCTTTTGTGATTGACAGATTTTCCCTTTTGTTTCCTGGTAAATGGAGTTGTAAAGCTTGCTGTATGGCATCTCATCTTATAGTACTTTGTAGATGAAAGCAACTGCTTAAGGTGGAAATATTATTCTGTTAAATCAAATAAGACACATCCTATCCAATAGGGAAAATTTCTGTCTTTGAGTTGATGCAGGCTACACATTACAGCAAAGAAAGTATAACTGGATTTAGTTGAGCAGGAAGAAAATCTGATAAACCTCCTCTATAATATTTTTTCAAGAAATTGGTTATATTGGTTTCAAGAAGGGAATTGGTTATACCATTACATAATATTTTGATTTAATTTATTTTGGTGACATCACTATAATATTCTGATTTCATTACACTAGAAATCTTATATTGACACAAGACAGGATAGAACTAATTCAGTTAGAGCAAAATAAAAGCATTTTAAGTTAATATTCCATTCATATTCAACTCCAACACTTAAAGTATTCCATAGCGGGAGTACAGATGAATGCTGAAATAGGGAGGTCTGGGTAAGGTGGTTTTCCTTAGAAGCCATTTTGGTCTGGGGTATTCCATAGTACAGATGAATGCTGAAATAGGGAGGTCTGGGTAAGGTGGTTTTCCTTAGAAGCCATTTTGGAACAAACAGAGACAGAACTGTTGGTTCCCAACAGTTCTTTTATTTTATTAATGGTTTGTACAGGCTCCATTGCCTTTCCTTCACTCACTGAAAAAGCAGACCAAATATTTGTTCAACTTGTGTGAAATTTTAAAGATGTACAGAAAAGCAAGGGTTACTGCCTATTGGGGGGACGAGGGGAGGAGGAGAGAAAGAGAAGGAGGAGGAATGGAAGGAGAGAATTCTTGGCACTGACTTTTCCTTGTACTTTGTCCATCCTATAGAGAAAATCATCAGCTAGTCTGGGAGAAGGAATGACAGGAGTCTGTCCAAAACTTGATCTTTCATGTATTAAATGCAGCTAAATGTGCTCTGAGAGTCTCTTTGAAAGTAAAAATTCTCTCATTCCATTGTTGGCATGAAAGAGTTTGAGAAATATAGAGGAATTAACTTATGCTAGAAGATTTGAAGTAGATAATGCCAAGGTATGATTTGTTTTGATAAAATTTGTCTAAAGAAAATGCTTCGTAGTAAAACCTATATAATGTTTTATATGGTAGTAATCTTCTTTGTTTACATTTGATAGAATATGCAGTTATATGATAACTTGTTTATTCACCTATTAATCTGAATAGCTGTATAATAAACAACTTTGTAATTTCTGATATACATCAATTATTGTGTGCATGTTAATGTTTATCTTATATTTAATTCCTATTAAAATATAGGGTTAAAAAAGCTGAACAGAACTAAGATACAAAATGGGAAGTAATTACCTTCATGCTGTTAACGAAGTGGCTGAAATATGATGAAGGCAGAGAAGGACCTGAAAAAAATCAAGTACATTATTTTAATGCTAAAATCATCTGTACTTTTCATTTTAGAAGGGCTACATTATCCATAATTTCCATTTTAGAAGGCCATTATCTGTACTATTTTAGAAGTTTAAAATGTAACTCTTCTCCATTATCATCTTGACCTTTTTGATGTGGTAAACATTTGTTTCCTCTGTTTTACTGTAGCAAATATAGTCTGTGCGCCAGCATCATTGCTGGGCTGGTGTCGGTGGGACTGTGTTTATGTTCTGATTATGGTTAGATAACCAGAGGCTACAGAATCTGTATTTTGGCTTTCATGCTCTTATTCAGCTGTTTCTGTGTAGGTTTGAGAAAGAACTTTTTTTACAGTGCTTAACAGCAACATAATGGCTTGTTTCAAAAGAGATACTTAGAATTCCCTGAGGTATTGTAATCAATTTAAATTAGGACTAACTCTTTAGAAGATTAATTGAACTCAAACAAATTGCAGGAAAGTGTTTTCAATCAAATACTAATGGAAAATATGGCACCATCTAGTTTAGTCATTCATAAATTAAAATATACAGTATTTCAGAAAGGCAGTAAAAGTAGCTCTCTGGCTTTCTGAGCCATGGCTTAACAGCTGCTCATATGAGGGAACCTGGCACCTTGTTTTCCAGTAAGGAAGCACTAATGTTCTCTGCTAAACATACACCCAATACAAAGTCAATACTCTGCTTGATTTTTAACACCCAGGGGACTTTGGATCAGGCACTATAAGAGTCATTGGGTTTTACAGCAAAACAAGATCTAATTCAATCATATCATTACTTATGTTGCTTTCGTCCCCATGCAACATATCTGCATATATAAAGGCAGCTGGATTGGTATTCACAACAAAATCTACTGGGATAAGTTAGATAGAAAAATACCCTCTATATTTCTGAGCAAACAAAGCCACGATTCACTGTGCTGTTGTCAAGACTGGAATTCTGAAGATGCTATAGCAGAGGAGCTACAACTGTCTGTGCCATTGCCAAAACTTTGAAAACGCTCTGTGCTGCAAATGAGCTGACTCACAGCATGATGACTTCCACTATCATCACTTTAATCTCTACCTCATCCACTTCTCTGTCACACCAGTGTAATCTATAAGGATGACTTACAGGGAGAAGATATTTAGGCTGCTACAACGGTCAAAAACAAAAATTGATGGCACTCTTTTACTTGGGCAGCAAAAGAACAGGTCACCTGTTGTGTTGCTTTCCTTTAGCAAAATCTGAAATGTAACAGGGTTAATCAGATACTCTAGGCTGAGTAAGTAAATAGACTTCTGTTCTTGAGGGAACAAAGATTAATTCTGTTTTTGGACTAGAAGTGATATCCTGACCATAACAAAGGTGCAATGTTCATCCCTTTTATCAGAGTTGAGAATCCAGAAACATATCACAAGTATGTGGAACCTTATATCATCACAGTTGTCCGTCACTGGAACTTACAAAACAATAATACATTTTATTAAATTCATGTGTCAGAAGTAGTGTGGGCATGGCAGATCATAAAACAAGATTGTTGCTTAGTTTTGCTTTGAAATGCACAGTTCCTGCATTTTTAAACTAGTCTGCTGTTTGGGGAGCACTTTCAAAAACTCTTTTTTGAAACATTTTATACAGATCAGCAGCAAAGTTAGCATGGGCAAAAAGTCAAAATAGGAGTTTAGTATAAAGAGCTGTCCTTTGGAATATAACAACTGTAATATTATTTTAAAACTAAAACTCTGGATTGAAGGCTTAAAATATTTTAAATAACACTTTTGAAAGTATTTATTAATTGTATAGTGCTGTTTTTATATTTCACTATTTCTAATGTCCATCAATGTAACTTTTTCTAAATAGATAATAATTTAAAAACTTGCACCAAACAGGAAGAATTTAAGAAACAAGGTTTGCCTTCGAGCCCTAGTCATAGACGAAGACCACATTGTTTGCACAGTATGTAGCACACTGGACAAAGAGACAGTCCCTGCCCCAAGAGGCTTAAGATGTATTAGTTATGTATATCAAACGCTCATGTAAAAATAAATCCTCAGTAGGCTATGATGTTTATAGGCCCCATTAACTGCTATCAGTGTCAATACTTTCAATAATCAAGACAACAAAATGTTTGCATCGAACACAGAAGTCAATAACTATGTTGCACTAGACTTCATCACAATTGGCTGACAACGTCATGTGAAGTACTCGGTGGCCTTCAAACCAGTTTAACATACTGACAAGTCAGATCTTTCTAAACATTTGTATGAAAAAAATCACAAATCAGACGATATTAATATTATAAGGCTTATGGTATGTCTACACTGCCACCTTAGTTCGAACTAGGGTGGCTAATGTAGGCATTCGAACTTGCAAATGAAGCCCGGGATTTAAATATCCTGCAAGGAGGTTTAACGGTAGTTTGAATTAGGAGCTTTAATTCGAACTACTTAGTCCGTGCCACGTGTAGCCGCGGGAAGGTAGTTCGAACTATGGGGTATTTAAAAATGGCGGCACCCGGGAACATGCAAATAAAGCCCGGGCTTCATTTGCAAGTTCAAATGCCTACATTAGCCACCCTAGTTCGAACTAAGGTGGCAGTGTAGACATACCATAAGCCTTATAATATTAATATCGTTCACAAATTCAGCAAGGAATCTAAGCAGATGCCTAACTTCCAACAGATGTGAGACTATGCTGATGTTTAAAGTTAGCCATAGACTTAAGTACCCTGCAGGATCAGGGTCTTCATAAACTGTGAGTAACTTGAACCCCTGTCAAGTTAAGGAAATAAATAAAATTTAAAATGCATTAGATATTTTGCAGTTCTTAAAATAAACCCACTCGAAAAGCACATGTTATGCAATAACAATACCTGGTAGTCCAGGTGAGCCTTGCTCTCCTTTTTCACCTTTTAAGCCTGGTGGGCCAAGTGGTCCCCAGGCGCCTAACTCTCCTTTCATACCTGCCATAAAATATTGCCAGAAAATGAAATGTATTGTTAGCATATGAGATTTATTGCAATGTACAATTTACAAATGTGATGTAACAGATACTGTGTTCATGATGGACAAACCACCAAAGGTCTGGGGAAGGGCTCTAAACACATGGCTGTTTATTCAAACTTTGGGGATCCTTCCCCTCATTATAAGCTGTCCCAGCTTTTCCTATAACTATTTAAGAGCCACGGATCCCTTCTCCCTTCTGATGACATGTCAAAAGGACTGCCATTTCTTCTTTGCCTCTAGAACCTGTAATAATCCCTCTTCAAGGGTGTGTCTCTCTTCAGCTCTCTCCCCAGGCCTGCCTGAATAAGCCAAAAACAGACTGGTTTACCTTTTTGGCCTGCATCCATTGCTCTGCGATTACTGGAGAGAAAGCACTGCCAAAGGGTAGAGGTGTATCTCTGTGCTTAATGGCTCTGGCACTTGAATTTCTTATCACAGAGCCAGTGATGCTGGAAAAGTTTTTGGAATGGGGATGCCAAACTGCATCCCCCAACCCATGTCCATGTCCTCACCTCACCCCTAAAGCTAGGACTGCGAGCAGGACCGTGGCTCTGGTGGAAGAGAGGAGACTCAGGCAAGGATAATGCAGTGGAGGCTGGGGCCACAGCTAGAGTGAGTGTAGAGCTCCGGGTATGGGGCCAGCAGCCGAGACCACGTATGCGGGGCCAGCAGCCAAGTGGGACCTGGGTCTGGCAACAGAGTGTCTGAGCAGCAGGGGCACCAAGGTAGGGGGCAGGATCAGGGCAGCAGGGGCTCAGAGTTGGCAGCCAGGACACTGGGAGCAAAACTTGGGAGTGCTACAGCACCCCCTGGACTTCTACCTCCTGTGCCACTGCCTATGTATAGCAACGAATAACTTCTTTGTCTGAGACCAACAAAACTATTTATCATTGACTGCCTGTGAGGCCATATCTACAGTACAAGATAAAGTCAAATGTATTAAGGTCGACTTTTTAGCACCTGCTTTTGTAAAGTTGACGGTGCATGTCCCTAAATGTGCACAAGAAGCTTGGAGAAGAGCATCCCCAGTAGGGAGGCTACTGTTGACTTTGAGAACAGTGAACTGTGGGTAGTTATGCCACAGTTTCTGCACCCTTTCCATGCTGGGTTATGCTCCCAGTGCACGGTGGGACCAAAATTATGCAGTGAGTAATTCTGGATACATGCCATCAGCGTCCCATAATGCATTAGTCTCCTCCCTCCATCCCTGCTTGAAAGCAGTCTCTTTGTGCCCTTTATGCCTCCTAGCTATCTACACAGACACTAGAGCAGTGTAAGCCTGGAACCTACTGTGGATTCTACTGAGTATCGAAGTATTATAGCAGTTATATTAACTATGGTGAGCTTTATGCTGGAGTATGTTCAGAGTGTGTCCAGGGTCCACTGGAACAAAGAAGAACCCTAGGAGGCCATGAACATATTCTTCTGTGAAGCACTAGAATGACTGGCAAATGCCACCGGCATTCGATCCTCTAGACACAGTGAAACGCTGGTTCTGGTGCCATCAGACAAGCACAGACTGGTGGAACCACGTATTAATGCAGCTATAGGACAATGAATAGTGGCTTAAAAGCTTTTGCATGAGTAAGGCCTCATACAGGTAAGTTTGCAAATTGCTTCCCCCGACTCTGAAGCACAAGAATGCTAGAATGAGACCCTCTCTGACAGTGGAGAAGTGAGCAGCAATTGCCCTGTGGAAGTTTGCAATGCAAGACAGCTACCAGTTAGTTGGGAATCAGTTTGAAGTGGGGATATCTACAGCGGGCGCCTTTGTGATCACAGTCACCAAGCCAATCAATGCCCTTCTGCTACAGAGGGTACTGACTCTGGGAAACATAGAAGATATAGTGGAGGGCTTTGCCATGATGGGGTTCCCTAACTGTGGTGGGGCAACATACATCCCTCTCTTGGCACCTGACCACCTTCCGAAGGAATACATAAATCACAAGAGGTACTTCTCAATGGTGCTGAAGGCACCAGTGGATCACAAGGGCCATTTCACTGACATCAACAAGGGAAAAGTGCATGACGATTATTCAATTACACACTATCCAACATCCCTACTAGGTTTGATGGTAATTGTTCTGTAAGATGAAAACATATTTGCAATTGCTTTGAAAGATGAATCTGTCTATAAACCCTGGAGCCATGTGTTAATTTATTCTGGGGTTCCTACTCTTTGAGTTGGTGACACACACAAGGTGAAAGTTTCAAATCAGGAGAACTTTTATCTGTTTTTACAGGTCTCTGTTTCATTTGTTCTTGTATAGCATGGATTCTAAACATTCCCCAGAGAACCTGTAGAAGCCTTAGTGAATGCCTTTTACTCTCCTTTCCAGTGCTAGTAAATATTGTATTAGTATTGTCAAGAAAAGCATGACTATTTCTAGTTGGCTCATAGATTTGTTTAGCATCTTAAAGCTGAGCTTTGTGTGGATAATATGCATTTTGGTGTGTTTACTAGCTTGAATTGTTAGAAAGGACGATACCTGTACTCCAAGGATAGTGTTAATTTTATTTTTGATTTGATTTCATATTAATTATCATAAGCATTGCTCCTTGTTAACTATCTCTTGTTTTAATATATTTTCTTCCACACCTATGGTCTGTTTAAAAAAATAAGATATATCATATATAATATTTTTTAAACAGTCCATAGGTGTGGAAGAAAACATATTAAAACAAGTGATCGTTAACAAGGAGCAGTGCTTATGATATTTTATATAAATAAAATAGACTATTGAAAAAAATAAAACACACACACATATGATTTTGTTTGTATTAGTGGTGCACATCCATACACTACCTCAATATTGATCTTCCAATTTCAAACCACGCAAAAGAAAATTCAACCCGCCCAAGGACAGAAAAAGTTAGAGGGAACACTAGTGTCTAGGTTCCCAGTACAATGAATGGGAGAGAAAGGCACTTCAGACTGCAATCCACAAAGCCAGCAGGCTAGGTGGGGAGCTGCCTAAGCTAGCTAGGGGGAGATGCTGACCTGGGCTTCCTTCAATATTTCCTTTTGAAGTTGTTCAACTTCAAATGAATAATTAAATATTAATGGGGCCAGAAGATAGCATTAGCATGACTAGAAGCCCATGACTAAGGCACTCCCCTAAAAGGTGGTAGGTCTCTGTTCAAATCTCTTCTCCCCTTCAGAAGAAGGGGGAAGTTGAATTAGGGAAGTTGAATTAGGTTAACATTACAGTTTGCTGTTGAGATGTGCTCCCAGAACACAGATTATGTAAGTGCACATTTCATATATGTCTATAGCTGGCTATGACAGAGAACACATAAACATGGCTGGGACTACAGTCTCACCTCATCCTGCCAGTTGTGTGCACCTTATCCCTGGCCATGAGATACCAGCACTGAGAAAAAAGGTAGTTCAGTCCCATGGCTCATATCACTTCATAGCCTCTACATCAAACACTGCCAATAGGGTGCTAATTTGTACCAACAGTATTGGTGGGCTTAGGGAGGTAGCCACAAGTTTAGTAAAAACACAACTGAGACCGCAAATCATTTTTTATAATATAGGTCACCTAATAGCCAAGAGATGGCTTAGACTTTTGGTCACTACAACTAGGGTCATATTTGATCCAATACATCTCTACAAGCATAAAAAAAAATCCAATAGTTTACCATGAATGTTAGCGTCTTGGTTTCCAGGATGAGCAGTGCCAACCTACGTGTAAAGAAATAGATTCAGAATATTATCTATACAAATTAACTTATATTTATAGATCACTTAGCATAACAGGGCCCTGATTCTGGTGAGTGCTTTTGTATGCTACCACAGAACATATAATTAATAGTTTAACCTGTATTAGTCAAATTGCTAATGTTCAAATATTAGCCAGTTAAGACTTACTCAGTGTTGTGCATTCTTCAACATGCAGCATGCTTTTGATAAGATGTAAAACATGCATTCTTGCAACATCAACCAAAATTCTATTTTCAGTTATGCTAGTATAAATCTAAGGTAACTCAGCCCTGGTCTATACTAGGGAGTTATTTTGAAAACAACAGGCGGAGCGTCCACACTACCAAGCCTGTTGTTTTGAAATAAGGGGCTGGTTATTTTGAAATACTAACTCCTGCTTTCCACAAGGAATAATGCCTATTTCAAAATAACTATTCCCCAGACTCATTCAAAGTAATGACTCCCCAGTGCTTCCTGGGGCTCTAAGTCGAGGTAACACATCCACATTAAGGGAACCTGCCTTGGTATAATTTTGAGGCTTCTCTGTAGTGTGGACATGTTATTTTGAAATAGTTAGTTTGGGAGTTATTATTTTGAAATAAGTTATTTCAAAATAATTTCCTAGCATAGACATGCCCTCAATCCCAACACATTAGAATTATTCTGGATTTGCATCAGTGTAATGGAGAGCAGAATTTGATTTTTAAGATAACAGATTGTGTTTGCAGTGCTCTTCATCAAATATTAACACATAGCAGTGGAGGTTTTATACACCTGGAAGCTGTAGATAAAGGCAAGAGACAGAAAGATAGGTGCCATCCAAGCATGAGATGGGAGCCAGGAACTTTTTAGTTCTATTCCTGGCTCAGACACTACTTCCTGCTGTGATCTTGAGTATGTCAGGTAAATGTACTGCCTGCCTGTAAAATAAGGACTAAATAACCCACCTCCTAAAGTAATTATGAGAATTAATGTTGGTTCAGTGGATAAAACATTGCACAACACGAATTATTATTCTTGTTAATATTAATTGCTCTTTATTCAGATATTTAAGAATTCCACCATGCAGCTGCTGCATGAAAAGGTCCAGTTCTACAACACTCACTGTACAGAGTTCATTTCAGTGGGTCTATGGCTGGGTCTGTAGTTAGAGAACATTATGTCTAACAATATGTCCATGCTGAGTAAGACACCCACAACTGGCTCATATTAGCTGACGTGGGATTGTTGGGCTTGGGCTATGGGGATGCTTAACTGTACTGTAGATGTTTGGGTTCAGGCTGAAGGGGGATCCTGTGAGGGGAAAGGGTCCCAGATCCTGAGCCCAAATATCTTCCAACAGCCCTGCAACCCTATGAACCCGAAACAGATGTGGTTGTTTAATAGCAGTATAGACATTTCCCTGAGGCACAATCCTTTCCCATGTCCCATGCTGCTTGCCTATTCAGCCCGTGGCTGTATGCCACCATATGACCCTAAGGAAAGACCTAGTGACACTCAGACTAGTTGACAGTTTATTGAGAGAGGTCTTTTTTGTGATTTAATAAAAACAAGCCCTGTTAGGTCCTCTAACACTTAGTGCCACATCAACGCTCCAGACATTCTAGGCAAAATCCCAGTTCTGCTGAAGTCAACAGAAGTTTTGCTGTTGACTTCTGCAGAGTCAGGATGTCACTCCAGGTATGTCTACACTGCCACCCTAGTTCGAACTAGGGAGGCTAATGTAGGCATTCAAACTTGCAAATGAAACCTGGGATTTAAATATCCTGGGCTTTATTTGCATGTTCCCGGGCGCCACCATTTTTAAATGCCCCGTAGTCGAACTACCTGCCCACAGCTACACGCGGCATGTGCTAGCTAGATAGTTCGAATTAAAGCTTCTAATTCGAACTACCGTTACTCCTCCTGCAATGAGTAGTCCGAACTAGGGTGGCAGTGTAGTATTACTCTCCTTGAGTTTTATGAGGCAAAACATATTTGCATGTGGGACCTAGGGAGCTCCCAGGTGCCAGAGGGTACACAATACTGCAATTCACATCAAGCCAGAAACACTTATTGCCCCAACTCATTATCAATCTGATTCTAAAAGGTGTCACGTGCAAACTGGTAACATGTTTGGCATTAATATTACTGCATGGTATAAGTCCAGGATGTGCATGAGCCTAGCCTGTTCTGGCCAAAGGGATGTTGTTTCACTTGCTTGACTGTTGCCAATATAAACGGAGCAAGTCAAGCACAGGAAAAATGGCACTAAATTTACATACAAGGTGAAGAGAACCACCAAACTAGCAAGTGGGGGAGATGACCACACAATGGAACAATCCCTATGGGAAATGGAGGCTGTTCCCCCAGAAAGATTTCCTGGCCCTTGAAACAGAGACAATGGACTTTGGGAAACATACACAGAAACAGAAAGTTATTTGGACATCCATCATCTGAAACCAGAGCTCTTGAAATCTCAGAAAGATGGATTCTTCAGCCAAGTGTATTGAAGCATCCAGGAACTGATTATAGGTGAAAAGGCTGCTTAGACAAAGAGTGTAACCTGCACTTACAATTTTAATCACTAGAATGTGTGGTTTATTTTGTTTGTAACCTTTCATGTCTCTTTCTCTCTTACCTCAAATCACGGAAGCCTATGCTAATAAACTTACTCATGTTTAGAGTACCATCTCAGTGGTGTGTATGAAAATGAAACATGAATCTTCAGCTAACCTAACTGGCTGGTGTGTCTCTTTGCAGGCAGTAAGCTTAACTTCTCAGGCTTGGTCCCCACTAAAGCAGGCAGGTCGGTTTAAGATACGCAATTCTAGCTATGCAAAATGTGTAGCTGGAGTCGGCTTACCTTAAGCCAAGCCATGGTGGCATCCACACAGCAGGAGGCTGATGGGAGCACACACTCCTGTTGACTTTCCTTTCTCCTCACAGAACAAGGAGTATTGGACATCAGTGGGGGCTGCTCTCAGTGTTTGATTTATGGGTCTACATTAGACCCACTAAATCAATGCTAGAAGATCAATCTCCGGAGGGTCGATCTTCTTGCTAGTGTAGACATACAGTGTCCAGTGAAATGGATTGGACACTGCAAGGAAAGGTTTCTTGGGAACTTGGGGCACTGATGTTAACTGTTACCTGCAAGGCAAGGTTTAGACTGGAAGAGCCCTGAAAAGTTTGATGGCAAAGCAGACAAGTGGGTGTATCCAGTAGCTTAGCACATAGTTTGGCAACAGCAATACTCATTCTTGGTGAGGCAGAACAGTAATGCTCTGGCACAAAGTTCTGGGTGGTTTGAGCTAGACATCACAGCATGTGAATGGAACAATTGGAATGTAAACTCATGGAAGACAAAAGAAGATTTGTTTGTTTCCTTGTTTGTGAGTGTGTGTGTTTGTTTGATGTATGCTCTGCATATCCTGACATTCAAAGGGATTAGGCAACTTTCTTCTGATTGTGGACAGAGAGGTACTGTATAAGAAGTAAAAGAAATAAAGAGCCACCCCCTTAAAATCAGTAGAAACGCTTAGGTTTCCAAGGACAATTTTTTAGTAACAAGAAACCACCCTTTGGCTCTAATCTGTGTTCAAAAGCAAAACAAAAGAACGATGTTACAAGAGCTTTAAGACAAAAGGTTACAATGATGTTTACACCTCTCAGACAGTCTATAAGGCATTCATTGTTGAGTATAAAAGTATTTGAAAATCACTCTGTTATCTTAAAGGCTCAGTCCTATGTCATGGTGTACATTAGACATATGACATTACCAAGGCAGAGAGCAAAGCAGAAGAGAATGCAGAGAGCTAAAACGTGCATAGAACATGTGCTTGTGCCACTTGTTCTCATGGCCATGCACTTGCATATTTGGTAGAAACACAATCTGTATATAACTTACTGGCATTTTGCAGTAAGGTCTAGGAGAAATTGGGAAAACCGTCTATTCAAAATGTGGAGGAAAATGAATTCAGTAAATACAGAGGATGATAATGAGGAGGATGATACAGCAATTAAAAACCCCAAATTTTATAGAGGGTGACAGACAAAGGACCCTTCCACAGCACAAAAATCTCCTCATCCTAAACGGATTTTCTGGCTCACCTGTGAAGAACATTCTTGGGTTGGGTGCTATGGTCTGCCAACGGGTGCTGGCCTATGTGGATGGGGGTTAGCCCCTTAAAGAAAAATACTTCTAACATCTGTGTGCAGGAGATGCTGTCCTATACACACCAGCTGGAAATCCACCTGCAAACCAGCATGATCTGAAACAATCTCAAGGTTTCACTTTACAGCCCATTTCATGAGCTGTGTTTTACTGCAATAAGGGCAAGTCCCCACAGATGAATCATTAATACCCATAGTACTTACTCCTTTGATGTAAATTATAGCCCCTGGAGGTCCAGGAGGTCCCGGGGGCCCAGGCAATCCAGGGAGACCCTGGGAAGGCAAAACAAGGGAGGAAAGACATTTATTATTTAGAACCTTTCAGTCTGCAGTGCCAGCTGACAGATAAAGTGCATGGGCCAATTTGAACATCGCGCTTTGTGCCAACTGGCTGGAGGGGAGACAGAGCATTTTCTTGTACAAATATTTGCCCATAAAAAGAAAGTATGGATTCTAAGATTGGCCCTCACAATATTTCATGGACAGGAAAATTGCCCAAAGATTTTGCTTTCAGAACAAACAAAACACAGAATTACATATAAAAAAGCTCCATTTGTTCCCCAGAAAACTCTCTTTTGGGATATAAAACTACTGAGAGATATACGCTGACAAATTACACTGTTCAAATGCCATTCAGACAACTGGACATTTAAATGCAGAATGTCTGTAAAATAAATCCTAGCCCTAGGATGAGAGATTCAGTCAGCACTCTACACACTCAGAAACTGCAATATAAACAATGGGCTACTGCACTGACATCAACAGATTTAATCTGGATTTACACGACCATAGCTGAGTCCAGAATTTAGCCCAACCTATAACACTGAATGCTACATCTATGCAGAAGCCCTGTGTCCACATACTGGATCTAGCCCTTGACAGATCCCCACCCCGCAGTTCCTTGCTTACTCCACCAGATGGGAACAACATCCTTCATCTGGGGGCTAAGCAGAAAAGCTAATGCAAGCTGTAAGAAGGGATACAGAGAGGCATAATGGATGAATGCAGAAAGAGGAGGAGAAGACAGAGATGATGTGCCTGTGTACTGCCATAGCTGGCTTCTTTTCCCATCTAAATGGACAAGGTTGGCTAATGCATGAGAACTCAAATTATTTAGAACAGTTGCACCTGGTAATAAGAGCCTCTCATCTGATGGAAATGAAACAAATTCACAGAATTAAGCCAGAAGGGATTATTAGGTCATATAGGCTGACCTTGTATATATCACAGGCCATAAAACTTCACCCAGTAACCCCCATATTGAGCCCATTAATTTGTATTTAGCTATCGGCTGTCTTGGAGAAAGGCATCCAGTCTTGACAAAGATTTCAAGAGATGGAAACTCTACCACTTCCCTTTGGTAGTTCGTTAATCACTCTCACTGTAGGAAATTTGTGCATAATTTCTAATTTAAATTTGTCTGGTTTCAGCTTCCAACAACTTTGTTTGATGAAAAAGCTCTTAAGTACCTGGCATTTACTCTCCAGGGAGGTACACTAATCAAGTTACTTCTATCTTCTTTTTGCCAACTAGGACATTATTATCATCTGCATTCACAACTACAGATTGAACCTCTCTAATCCGGCACTCTTTGGTTGGCAACATCCATGGTCCAGGATGATTTTAGTTAGCTGGATATCCAGTTATCACATGAGTGGCTAAGTTTCCCATTGTTCCATAAAGTTTGCTTATAGTCACCAGTTCTGGTGCTCAGTGTTCTGTGATGTTATTTAGCTCTGATTTATACCTCAATGTCTTCTAAGAGCCCAGTAAGCAGTGGAAGTGTTCATAATGCTGCTAGACAATATTGACCTGTGGTTTGACTAATTCTCTGGCTTGGCACCTGTCAGGTCCCGAGAGTTCCAGACTAAAGAGGTTCAACCTGTATTATGAAGGATTCACACTTGAGCTTTGAACCTTGTGTGGAATATTTTTTAAATGAGTCACTCCAGAAGGGCAGTTCATGAATATAATAAACTCACAGCGTAGTCAATTGAAACATAAAATTGTAACAGATTCCACCAACAGTGTAATGCACTGGGATATTTCTGATGTGAACTTAAACATATAGGCTACGTCTACATTGGCATCCCTTTCCGGAAAAGGGATGCTAATGAGACGAGTCGGAATTGCAAATCCGCGGGGGATTTAAATATCCCCCGCGGCATTTGCATTTACATGGCTGCCACTTTTTTCCGGCTTGGAGATAAGCCGGAGAAAAGCGCCAGTCTAGACGCGATTCTCCGGAAAATAAGCCCTTTTCCGGAGGATTTCAAGTAGGAATAAGAAATCCTCCGGAAAAGGGCTTATTTTCCGGAGAATCGCGTCTAGACTGGCGCTTTTCTCCGGCTTATCTCCAAGCCGGAAAAAAGTGGCAGCCATGTAAATGCAAATGCCGCGGGGGATATTTAAATCCCCCGCGGATTTGCAATTCCGACTCGTCTCATTAGCATCCCTTTTCCGGAAAGGGATGCCAATGTAGACGTAGCCCCATGTAATTGCAAATGCCGTGGGGGATATTTAAATCCCCCGCGGATTTGCAATTCTGACTCGTCTCATTAGCATCCCTTTTCCGGAAAGGGATGCTAATGTAGACGTAGCCATAAGGTCTTTTGTACAATACTGGTACTAATTGCTCTAGTAAACCAGCAGTGTAGCTGCTGGTGTACACAGAGTTCGGGAGGGAGGGAGGAGATACCTGCTCCTTATCTTCCCTAACATCTTCCAGTGGCATCTTAGAGACTATCAAAAATATATATAGCATGATGAGCTTTTGTGGGCAAAACCCACTTCTTCCATTCGAGCTCATCTAAAGATGGGGATTCATGAGGGTTTTGCCCATGAAAACTCATGATACTAGGACTACTTAGTGTTTTTTAAAGTTACAGACTAACATGGCTACCCTTCTGAGACTTCTCTTCTCTAATAGCACAATACTGAAGCAGCTGTATTGTCGCTGGTATTAAAGCAGTATATGTACCAGAACTAATTTTTCAAGCATAGACACATCCTAAGATGATACAAGAGCTCCGATACGAATTACTACATCAGATGTTCTATGGCAATGGAAAATGCTGTTCTGAAACTTTTTATTTATGCTGAGTAGCACTTGCTCAAAGGCTACTAGCATGAGTGCTACTAGAAGCCAATCAGGGTTGCAGAATTAGGAGTTTTGTTTATCAAACTCAAAAGCATTTTTTAATTCAATAACTGTAAAATGTTAATGTGCAAGTCTTATAGGGCCCAATCCTGCACACACTTCTTATCTGTGAGGAGTTTACTATCGTCAGGGGTCTCCCCTGAGAATTTGTGGTAGGTAATGGTAGATAAAGGTGTTTGAAAGATGAAGCCCATAGCTTGTGGCAATAACTATCATTATCTTGGGCCTTACTGAGCCACACTTAGGCCTGTCTGTCCTAGACCAGGAAGGTCAGCTTAAGGTACACAACTCCAGCTACGCAAAATGCATGGCTGGAGTTGGCTTAACTTAAGCTGAGCCGTGGTAGCGCCCATACAGCAGGAGGCTGATGGGAACATGCACATTCCCATCAGCTTCCCTTACTCCTCACAAAAGGAAGGGTACTGGACACCAGTGGGGTTTGCCGACAGCGTTCAATTTATGGGTCTACACTAGACCCGCTAAATTGAATGTCAGAAGATCGTCCTCTGGAGCATCGATATTTCAGTAAGTATAGATATGCCCTTAGAGTAGCACTTACCTGAATATTTCACTGAAGTCAATATAACCACTCATACAAGTATATACACTGCTCTACTGGAGTTAGGATTACAGAAATCAGGGCTGAATTATTATTTATCAGGAGAAATGGCATGATCATGTTAGCATTTCTAGGTATTGAAAGCTGCTTTTATTCCTGGAACAGATTCATATCTATTAGCCTCAACCCAGAATTATATTCTTGTTTACAATGAATTCCAGTATCACAGTAGAACTTACATATAACGTTACACCCCGTTCACCTTTTACACCTTTCAGTCCGTTCAATCCTGGGCGACCCTGAAAAGAAAAGAAACACTTTAGTGTTTGTACTGAAGTAAACTGATATTTTTATTCTATCTGAAAAATCTTAACACGTACAGGTCGACCAGGAATACCAAGTTCTCCCTTAGATCCAGAAGGTCCTTCTGGTCCCTGGAAAGAAAACAGAAAAAACATGATAAGCTAAGAAAAGAAGCACAATTTTAAAGTTTCCGTGTGGAACATGAGACTGGTTCATGTTTTGATTATTTTGAAAGCACATTTATGTGTTTAAAAAAACCACAGTTTCCTGCGTGCAGACTGATTGCCTTCAGCAAGTTTTCTAGATGTGAGGCAATAGGTCTCCAGGTAAAATCTGAACCCTAACATGGTGATCTGTAGAGAAAAAGATTCTTTGCCTTCACTGCCTTAAAGTCTAAATTTCACCCAGATTTTGTGTGTCCAAAATGCTGTTCAAAGCTTTGCTGCCAAGGACCAAAGTATAAAGGGGATGTTATAAGCGTTCATCTATGGAACAGGAACTGTCTTGCTGAAACAATGTGTGGGTGCTTTCCTGTGATTTCTATGCCACTTTTCTGCTAGTCTTGCATTTTTAAAATTATTTTTGAGTGGGGACTTTTTTGTCTAGACTGACCTCAAATGTTTCTAAATACCCAGAAACCTCCTGACAGAAACTATTTTTTGATCTGTGGACTTCCCAAATGCAAAAATTACTAGAATGAGAGAGAAGCTATGTTTACATGATTGTGAAACAATGGAAGAAGAGAGCCCTGTTCAGACTCTCCAGGGAGCCACTCAGACCGTCTTCTTCTAAAGCTGTTGGAAATGAAGAAGCCTGACTACTGTCTGCTGGCTTCAAACCCTGGCTAGTTTGTATGCCAAAGGTGCTGCAATAGCTGCTGCTGATTGCTGAACAGTAACCAGGCAGTGTTGTCATGCCTGACAAAGAACCCACCCCACCTCAACACTCCCAGCTGTAGGAGTCCAGAAACATGCAACTTTCGAATGTCAACTTCTACAAGTAAAAACTCAATCCCCCGAAAACAGCAAACCCATCTAACCTTTTCAACCAAGCTGAATGAAACCACATCACTGGGCTGTATATGTATCAACTTTTGGATTTTTTCCTTTCTTTTCCAATTTGTATTAGCAGGGGCACATCTAACTTCAGTACCGGGCAAATTAGTCGAAACAATAGTAAAGAATAAAATTGTGAAGCATGTAGAAGAATATAATTTGTTGGACAAAAGTCAACATGGTTTCTGTAAAGGGAAATCCTGTCTTACTAATCTATTAGAGTTCTTTGAAGGGGTTAACAAACATGCGGACAAGGTAGATATAGTATACTTGGATTTTCAGAAAGCCTTTGACAAGGTCCCTCACCAAAGGCTCTTGTGTAAATTACATGGCCATGGGATAAGAGGGAAGGTCCTTTCTTGCATTGAGAACTGGTTAAAAGACAGAAAACAAAGGGTAGGAATAAATGGTAAATTTTCAGATTGGAGAGGGGTAACTAGTGGTGTACCCCAAGGGTCAGTCCTGCGACTGATCCTTTTCAATTTATTCATAAATGATCTGGAGAAAGGGGTAAGCAGTGAGGTAGTAAAGTTTGCAGATGATACCAAACAGTTTAGGATAGTCAAGACAGAAGCAGACTGTGAGGGACTCCAAGAAGATCTCACCAAACTGAGTGATTGGGCAACAAAATGGAAAAAGAAATTTAATGTGGATAAGTGTAAAGTAATGCACATCGGGAAAAATAACCCCAACTATACGTACAGTATGATGGGGGCTAATTTGGCTACGACAAATCAGGAAAGAGATCTTGGAGTTATCGTGGACAGTTCTCTGAAAACTTCCACACAGAGTGCAGCAGCGGTCAAAAAGGCAAATAGGATGCTAGGAATTATTAGGAAAGGGATAGAAAATAAGACCCAGAATATCTTACTGCCCCTGTATAAAACTATGGTACGCCCACATCTTGAATACTGTGTACAGATGTGGTCTCCTCACCTCAAAAAAGATATTTTGGCCTTGGAAAGGGTTCAGAAAAGGGCAACTAAAATGATTAGGGGTTTGGAACGGGTCCCATATGAGGAGAGGTTAAAGCGACTGGGACTTTTCAGTTTAGAAAAGAGGAGACTGAGGGGGGATATGATAGAGGTCTATAAAATCATGAGTGGTGTGGAGAGGGCTGATAAAGAAAAGTTATTTATTAGTTCCCATAATAGAAGAACTAGAGGACACCAAATGAAATTAATGGGTAGCAGGTTTAAAACTAATAAAAGGAAGTTCTCCTTCACACAGCGTGTTGTCAACCTGTGGAACTCCTTGCCAGAGGAGGCTGTGAAGGCTAGGACTATAATAGAGTTTAAAGAGAAGCTGGATAAATGCATGGAGGTTAGGTCCATAAAAGGCTATTAGCCAGGGGATAAAATGGTGTCCTTGGCCTCTGTTTGTCAGAGGCTGGAGAGGGATGGCAGGAGACAAATTGCTTGATCATTGTCTTTGGTCCACCCTCTCTGGGGCACCTGGTGCTGGCCACTGTCGGTAGACAGGATACTGGGCTAGATGGACCTTTGGTCTGACCCAGTATGGCCGTTCTTATGTTCTTATGTTATCTCTTGCAAATGCTTTTAACTCTAGTAGGAGGCTTGTGAGGTGTGTGTGTGTTTTGGAATGCAAAACAGCAACTGTGGATAGAACTCACAGAATCTGAAAACAATGCTGTGTGCTGTGAGATGCCATCTGGAACTGAGATACCGGCGAGCTCTCCGTCTCACCAATCTGGGTTCCCTCTGGCATTGTGATATTGTGACAAGCTGCAAAGCCTTTCAAGCTTGCACTCACACCAGGTCCACAGGTAGGGACCACACTCACCTATGTTCATGAGTGGCTGGCCAGATCATTCATGAAAGCACAATAGACAATCTACAGCCAAAATACTCTTGGCTCCCTAGCCTAAGACTCCAGACCTGTACTGTTCTGGCCTGACTAGTATAAATTTATTACCCAGTCTGCCACAGGGAAGTGGACATGCACCAACTCTTGCTCCCAAGCTGAGATTTATCCCCTTTTCACTTCAAACAATACACAGTATGTTAGGTAAAATAAAACAGATTTATTAACTACAGAAAGATAGCTTTTAAGTGATGATAAGCTATAGCAAACAGATCAAAGTAGATTACCATAGGAAATAAAACAAAACCACACTCTAAGCCTAATGTGCTAGTTAGGGTTTGAGTCAAACAGTGTCTCGCACAGTTACAGTACATCTACACACCAGGGCTAAAACTGAATTAAGCAACACAACTTCAGATACGTCAATTGCCTAGGTTAAGTCAAAATAGCTTAATTCGGCTTTTGGTGCTGTTTACACAGCAGGAAGAACACTCTTCCTTCAACTTTCCTTACTCTTCATGAAATGAGGGTTACCAGGAGTCAGAGTAAGAGGTCCTCCAGCTTGACATTATTTCAAAATAAAGGGTTGTTGTGTAGACACACACTATGTTATTTCAGAATAACACTTGTTATTCCAAAATAATGCTGCTGTGTAGACATACCCTTAGATAGTACAAGTAGGTTAGCTTTCACATACACAGACAAGCTTCCTTCTTTCCTAACTAGGAGCAGTAATCCCCTCACCTTCTTCTTCCCTCCCCTTTCTGTCTTTGTCCTGAGATACTTTCATGAATGTTATTGTAGGGGAAATGCAATGCAGTCATGATGCCATTTTCCCATTTTATATTTTCTTTCAACTTGCTGGAAAGTTCTCGTGCAGTGTAGTCACTAAACCACCTCAAAAAAACCCCCAACAATTGCTTATACACTCTATGCAACTTGAGAAGACAGTGGTCTTGTTACTCTGTAGTGCTATCTCTGAGAGGTTTCCATTATTCTTGGGATAATCATTGTGAGTGTGCGCATTTCCTCTGCTTGGTCTTTTTATTCCTCCACTTAAAAGGCTGCTTGTAGCTGTTTTCAACCTCCCAAGATGTTTCAATAGCACAAACACAGTGAAACTTCATAACTTCACATACAGTGACAGCACATACAAACCAACAAGATATGAATGTCTAGGAGAACAAGACTTTTAGAATGATTCTTTACAAGGCATAATTTGTACAAAATATATAAAAATTACATGACAGTTGTGAATATGGGGATGCCCATATGCTGTCCTAAAAATCACTGTCCTATACACCATGGTTGTTGTTAAAAATAAAAGTATAATCACTCATTCATACACACCACCTTAACAACTTTAGACAAATTTTCTAAATTCCTGTCGCGAAGGCCTTCCTTAGCTAATTTAAATAATAATCAGGAATGTATCCCCCCCCACCAAAAAAAAATCAAATGAATATTTGTTGTGGGCTAGAGATAAGATTGCTCAATATCAACAGTTGATCCTGGGTCCTGATTTAAAATCATGCTAAGAGGTATGTAATAATATAAAGATCTCAGTATTTTCAAGTCAATCGTTTTACTGTGGAATCTGGATATGAGGCATTCTAAATATTTAGCCGCATTAGGAGAGAAACAAGCTGGAATGAAAGGTTTGATTTCTAAAATAAGATACAAATTTGACTCAGAAAGAAGGTAGGAAAACAACCCAGAAATTGATCTGAAAGAGAGTGTCTCTGCATAGGAATAAGGATACGCATCTTCCGTTTGTGTGGCCCATAAGGACATTTTTTATAAATTACTGCCTACATGACAACTGACTTCAGTTAAGGGCCATCCTATTTTTGCTATTAGAGAAGTGTTCTGATGGAGGGATTGCAGGGAATGATACTTGCACATGTAGTTCCTGTAATCAGAAATGAGATAGTTTGGGGAGAAAACTATTAAAGAGATTCATTGTATGACAAAGTGCTGGCTTTCTTTCCTAGAGATCCCTGATGTACTTGCTTAATGCTCCAAAAAAAGATCTGCAGTTAAAAGAGAAAAACATTTTTTTTATTGTTAGTTGCTAGACTTTGTATTGGAAAAAATGTGACTCTTCCTTCTATGGAATTGTGGTACAGTCCTTGTGATGGAAAAACATTCACATTAAGCTGCCAAAAAGAGGACAGTTAGAAATCTGGTGACTCTTTTTAGAGGAAAAGGGCTGCTCAGCCTACAAGCCAGAATCTTTAGCTAAGTTGTTT